CTTTGTGGTTTATTTTGATTGTCTTGCTGTTTTTGTCTGCATTCAGCAATGCTATGTCCGTATCTTCGGTAATAGTTACACCATTTTTTGAACGATGGTTTACTTTTAAATTTTGGATTTTTCTCGTATACATATAAAATTTTGGTAATTTTTTTGGATAAATCTGTATCTGAATCGTGTATATTGTTTTTTTGTGTATTAGTTTGGATATTGTTTACATATTGTACCTTTAGATTTTCTGTTTCTTCTAGTCTCATAGTGATTTCTGCTTGCTCTAATTTATCAACTAGTTTTCTGAAATCTAAATCTGGTTCTCGAATTGACGAAGGATGTGATGCTCTCTTTTTGATTGCTATTTTTCATAATTGAGGTGTTAGAGTTATCATTAGGATTTCTGTCATCTTTGTGTTTTTATAATCATGAGTGTTGAGTGAGTATGCTTTTTGGACCAGTGTTTCGATTCTTTTTGCTAATTGTTTAATCGTTTCATTTGGTAGTCTACTAATTTTATTGCATAAAACTCTTTGATGTTGTTTGTTTCTTTCAGAATCAAACATTTTTGAAAATTCTTGTGTGAATCTTTTCCAATCTGATTTTATATCTATAGGTAAAACTGAAAACCATTTTTGAGCTGCGCCATCAAGTGTGGTCTGGACTAACGCTGTGCGTCTATGTATCCAATTTTGATGAAGTGGCGTTTTTATTGGTTCAGGTCCTACATTTAAAATTAAATTTGCTGTGACTGCGTTTAAATAATCTTCCACAGAGTATTCAGGGTCTGTGCCTGTGAATACCATTAGTGGCTTGTTTGATGTTATTGATGATCAACCCATTAGTTAAAGATTCATAGTCATTTGAAGTGATTCTGCGGCATTTGGCATTTGTGAAAAATTTGTAAGTTGACTTTATGTTTTTTCATGTTGTTGTAAGTAATATGGTAGCGGGATTTCATTTTGCATTTGCGTTGTATGATAAGAATGTGTACTAGTTGGGTTTTGTGATTGAAAATTATTATTTTGAGATGTTAGAATTGGTCTAGATTGTCATATATGTTCTTCTCGTTTATATGGTTCAAAAATATCTGGTTGATCCATGTTGTAAGAACGAGGTCTTTGATTTTGATAAAATTGTTGATGGTTTTGATTATTATATTCTTCATTGTCTGATGGAAAATAATTAGTTGTATAAAAAGGTGTTTGATGTCTAGATTCGATTTGTTGTATATTATTTTTGTTTTGTTGAAAAACTGGGTAATTTTCACTTTGATCTTGTAAAACTTGTGGGTAGTCCTTAATATTTACTGAGTTTGATGATGGTTGTTGTAAATTTTGACTTTGCGAGAATAAGTGTTTTTGAGTGTTTGTACGAGAGGATTTAGTTGTTTGTGGTCTTTTTACGTAGTTATAATTATGTTCTGCAAAATTATTTCCATTGATTGTTCTTTGTTTTTGTGTTGGTTTCATCATTGGTCTAAATGTTTGATAATTTTGTGTATACTTTGGAACAACGGAGTGTTTAACCGTAGATTGTAATGTTACCTGCGGTAATATTGGGTTTTTTGGTCTTGGAGTAGTGAGGTTTGGATGTATAGGTGAGATACTTTGCTGTGCTATTGTTGTTATTGTTCCAACTATTTCTTCACTTACGAAATGTGATGGTATTTGAATATCTTGTTGTGTAAGATTTTTAGTTCCATTTATGTTTTTCTGTTGTGTGAGGGTTGAGTTTAAACTATTGTTTCCTGTTCTACCGGGTAGAAATGAATTGTAGTTTAAACGTGTTGCGTCAATTGTGAGTGGATATACTTAACATAATCTTTATGAATAGAAATTGTGCTAATTGCTTGACTTGATATATCTGTTGGTATGTTCACAAATAATTCCTGAGGCCATTCAGGGTCCCAAACATAATCTGATTGTTCTGCTCAGACAGTTTCATCAGGGTTATTTTAAGGTCTAAAATTTTTTCTTGCTTGTGTAACTAAATCAAAATTATGTGTAAAGTAATCAATTATAAACCATGCTAAGTTTTTTTTGTAAATCGTGTTTAACATGTTGTGATATTTTGTTGCTTGTTAAATTTTCACGGATCGCAATTTCATTTCTTACAGTTGTATGTCTAGACGTTCGGTCTGGTGAAGTTCCTTGAGATTCTGTTTGTTCTAGTAAGATAGATAACTAGAAATAATTGAAAATACATGGCTAGTGAATATTGAATTTGCTCTCTGTGAATTTTGATGTAATCTGTTATATAATTTTTATGCATTCTGTGAATAATTTTGAACATTCTATATCTACGTCGTCTGTTTAGAGTAGATATCTACCATGAAATGTATTTGGTGAACTAATTTTTATAGTATAAATTCCGTACTGTTGTGTGATTTTACATATTCTTTTTAGATAGTGATCAATGAGTTGTCTTTTGATTTTTACTTCTGGAAATTCCCAAGTACATGGACTATCTCCTTTTTCAAATAAATTTGCGAGTTAATTTTGACAAAGTTGTGTTTGTCCTCTATCTTCAGTGAGTGGGTTGACAAAAAATGGGAGAATGGATTTTTCTTCTTGGCTTTCTTCACTTTGATTCATTTTTGTGTTTTATGACTGTTATTGTGTAATTTTCAATGTATTTTATTGGTTGATTCCAATTGTATAGACGTAGTGGTTTGTTTTTGTATGTGTTTTTATTCTTCGTTTTCCTTGTATTGATGACTGTGATGTAGTTTCTGAGTCAGAAAAATATAATTGTTCGTTAACTTGGTGATTTTTATTTATCGAGTCCTTTAGCTTGTAAAATTCTTGTAAATTACTGGTTTCCGATTTGTAGACTGCGTTTCTTGGTTTTGAATATGGTTTTCGAGTAGTTTGTCTTTGTTTGCTTATAATTTTCCTTTTAAGTGTTTGTCGTTTTGTTCTAATGTATCCTATTGTTTGTCTGTGTGGAGTGACTACAAGATCGTATCTTTCGTCGTTTATTATACAATTGTGTAATATAATTGTTTGTTTGTTTCCTAAACTGTCTTGTGACATAAGGTTTAGGATGACGGATGCAAGATTGTGATTAGTGATTTCTAATTTCTTAAACTGTTAGTTCTTACGATTTTTTGTGGTTAGCCTAACTTGTGTCATGTATTGTAGGGTTCGAGAGAAAAGTATATCTCGATTCGTGAGAATGATTTTTACTTTCTCGTGGCTAGTCTAAATTAAGGTGTTAACTTACTTAATCTTACCTAGGGCTAGTGATTTGTGATCAAGGGTTGGAGAAGAGTAAATCGATCCACAAGGTTCAGATATAATTAGAACGCAAGTAGTTCCTTAGATACTATTTTAAACTTACTAAGTTTAAGTATTATCCCGGGTCAGGTAAGAGGGGGGATCAAGTGAAGGATGAATAACCGAAGTTCTTTACTGTTTATCTTAATTAGAATGGTTATTTTTATTGAAAAATTTCTGTTAGTCGTGGGTTTTTGAGGAAAAGTTGGGTAGTGAATCGACGTTTGAGGTCGTTAGACACTTTATAATTTGTGAGGGGGAGAACAAAATAAGATCAATTTACTTTAAATATGATCAATTTAAATAAAAATAAGGATAGGCCTTGATAATTTAATTTAACATTTAATTGATAAAAATTTTTAGTTTTATTATTTTTTGGTGATGTTAGTAGGTTTTTGATTCGCTGTTATGTTTTAGGTGATGAAGCTGGGATGAAGAGATGATTTATATATACTAACAATTTGTTTTTTACTAACTAACTTTTGTATTTTTATATTCAATAAATTTATTTTTAAAGATGTTTTTTGTTTCACTGATGATTCGTTGAAAAGAACGACTAGGTATGTTTTTATCAGTCGTTGTTGTGCTATTATTAGGTTAGCGCCTTTATGATTGTTGAAGACTTTTCTTAAAAGATACTATGTTTGTAAATGGAAATCTCAACTTAATTCTAATAAAATTCTAAATATAAAAGTTTGTGTGGGCTTTTGCCGTACGACCATGAAACTTAATGGTAAGTTTCTGTGTAGTTGTATATCGTCTCTTGTCCGAGGTCTTTTTCCAATACCGGGTAGTTCTCGTATTGTTCGAAATAGTGGCTCTGATCTATTGAGTCCTAGAGACATTTCAATTAATATGTTGTCATTACATTTTTGGAAATGTTTTTTTGTCTAATTCTAATCTAATGTGTGGTTAGTTTTAAGCTAAGTTGTTTTTTAAGGTCTTGCTCGAGACTTTTGGTCGCACCAGATGAGTTAAGTTCGAGGGTCTAACTCATAGAGTAATTTCAGATAGGGTACACCGTCTGCTCGTCACGCTATCTTATTTTCGGCCGGATAGATTCGAACTTTTTAGTCTAATACCGATCTTAATCTTACTCTTATATCTCTAAGTCTCAATAGATCTAGAGTATACTGGTTTTGTTACGAGTCGGACTCTTGGAGAAAGTAACTAAGTTCTAAGTTAAATTCAAATCTCTCTGATGCTGAAATTACAAGTAATTTCAGCACTTACAAATAAGTGGGTTGTTAGTTAGATGGAGTATGATTGGTTAGTATTCAATATTTTATAGGGATAAAATATCTAAATAATTACCAATAATAAATTATAGTTTGGATCTGGTTCTAATGCTTTCGGAATTTAGGAGCGCTTTTCAAATTAAAAGCAGCTCCAGGGGACAATTAAGAAATTCATTCGCTAAAAATGTGGATATATGTTAGCAAATCAAATTGTTTCGTGCTCCTAGTAAGCTGTGCCCACATTGTGTTTATTTTTTGTGCAAATAAAATTACTAGCTTCAGCGATGCCATAAAATAAACAAAACTAAATATATGAACTAATATAGCTCTGTTGATTTGATACTTGAAGAAATTTTTTGGATCTCACAAGTAATTTTATTATCAATTGGTACTCCAATGTTTTTTGAACCTCTCAAAAATTGTTTTGTACTTCGCGACTTAAGCAAGCCATTATAAGCCACCAAAAATTTTTGAAAGTTGGTTATACAAATTATATTTCAAGAATTTAATTCAAAATCCCCTGTTAGTTTTGTTTCAACATCAGTTCTTTCATAACAAGCCCCCAGCCGAATTTCATGAACCATCACCGAAAGCTTTCGTTCAGTCTGTAGATGAAATGTTGATTTATGGTATTTTTGGGATTTTATGATTTTCTTCCTTTTTGGGATTCTCAATTCGTTACTATATTTTGTGGTGGTTCCTTTTTCGTCGGGTGTCGTTGTTGTTTCCAAGTCAAGTCGGGAATTGATTGAATTATAAAGTCGGGCAGGTCGGAGATCGAATCTCGTTCACAATTCCTAAAAAGAACAAACGTCAGAGGGTTGTTCACTAAATGATTATGGGTTCCGAGTTTTAGTCCTGCTAGTTTTGAGCATCTCTAATGTCTGAAGCGCATAGGTTTTTTGACAAACAATCGAAACATTCAAATTTCTTAGGCGCGCCATTTTTGCCTCTTTTGTTACATATTTTTTTCGCAAATTAGGGGTCTTTTTATGAACAACTGTCGACAAAATTTGCTTATTCTTTTTCGAAAAACAAACCCCTACACCCGCAAAATAAAAATGCGCCTTACATCGTCTGCCATTTATGGTTTCTCAAAATTGATCGTTATCGATGCTCCAAACAATCAACTTTTGTTTTGTTCATGTGATACTTTTTTCGGAACTGTTTGGATGTGGCGCTTTGCAATTTTTTTTCTCACCCGCAAACTGTTGTGCCTGATCAGCGTATCCGTTCGCCTCTCTCTTGGCACTGATCATGTCCAGAATATACACATTCTGGTCGACCCAGTCCACTCTGCAACTCCCTCCTACCGGAAGATTCACTCCAGTACCCGCCATCAGCACACTATTGTATGCTTGCATGTTAAGGGCAAACACGTCACGATCTAAGAGACAGAGCGTAAAATAAGGTCAATGAGCAGAGAAGTGTAGGAACAAAAAAAATACCAAAAGTTTTTTGATTTTTAAGGGAGGATTCCAATAATAACGGAGACCACTCAGCAGTAAAAATAACTATATAACATTTGCTCAAAAAGCTCAAAAACAAAAAAGTAAGGGTGTAACGAGCTGACCAGCCTGGATAGGATTCTATACAAAAATTAGTGTCGGTTATCGCCCCAACTGCTACCTTATACCTAACATTAACTGCTAACTATCGCTTAGCAATTTTCCCATATCAATCATTAATTTTCTTCTATCGGACTCATATTCTGTTGGTGAACCTTCGAAACCCCAATGAAGACATAAAATCTTACAAAAACAGGAGAGTAAAAGATTAATGTTACAAAATTCATTTGCAACCCTGAGAATATTCTAGTTTTCACTGAAACCTTGAGAGCATTCCAAAATGCAACTTTGCCTGTGGAAACATATAGTTTCACTTCGTTCGAAAAAGAGGAAAAAAAACTAATACTGCTTTTCTTGTTCGGACTTTCGAAGAAAGTCGGATTAAAGTTTTTGTGCTCGGGCTGGTTTTTTCTCCGGACCAATTTCAATTTTTGACTGTCTTTTAATCGCAATTGTCAACGCCATCTGAAAACAAGCGATGAATTGAGCTATAATTTAAATTAAGTTTTTTACCTGTGATCATTTATCGAAAAGTTTTGGAGGTTTTTAACGCATCAGCGACTTTTCAATGCGCTCATAAATAGCTTCCAATTGATATGAGCAAGAAATTTGGGATTTCTAAAACGTCACTAGTTGCTAAAAACATCAGTTTGCACTTGGCTTAATGTGCGGAAATATTTTAAAAAAAAATTTTCTTGGATAAATTACCATTTTTCTTATTTTTTTCCTTTTTTTCTGAAGAAATTATCAATTTTTTTCATAGATTTACAAAAAAAAACAATTTCAAATTTGCAGTTGGAGCATTCATGAGGCCCTGACACGATCAGTCCAGTTTGTTTCTATGATCCTTTAAACTTTGTAAATGTTTTGTTAAATGTAATTATTAGCGTAAAGGTCAGCAAAAAGACTAGATGGTTGAACATTATCACAAATATGAAGAAGAATGACTCACGCATGCATATGGCCCAGTGGGGGAAAGCACAGTTGTAGTCATCCAAGCCAGTGTCTGAGTTTGCCCATTTGACCACACTCTTGCTGAACTTCTTCCTCACCACACACGCCTCCTCGCCCCACACTCCCAACACTAATCAGAACATCACACAAAACTGTATCGCCCCCCCCTCCGGTTTTTTGCCAAAGGCAGAGATTCCTTGCTGGGTACGCACGCAGTAAATTCACATACGCTTAACCGCTGAACTAGTTCTTTATAGAGACGGTAATTTGTTGATAGATACCTTAGGGGGTGGGTGGGTGGATAGTCGAAGGTTTAAAGATATGTATCTTTTAATGGTAACGTGGCAAACTTGCAACAAAATAGAACTCGCAGAAATAGACACAGCTCTCAAAACTTACAAACTCGAGAACTCGCAAGGTTTTAAAAAAATATTTCGAATGCGGAATTGGTAAGTAGCGACCACGTGCTCCGCTGTGCTTATATTTAAGTCGAATGGTATAATGAATCAGTGTTTGTAACTAATCTAGACGTTTTTTATGGTAGCAAAAATGAGTTCCTTATTTATTTTTATTTTGAAGTTCTTTATTTTTGCAAGTTTCCGCGTTCTCCGTGTTCTCCGTGGGTTTATAAAGTTTTTTACGACAACCCAAAAATCTGGGGTATTTATTTTATATCTGAAGTGTGAATAAACTCTGAAGAAGTCGAAAAAATTTACACTTGATAATTTTCAACAATGAGTGGAGGGCGAGGAAAAAATACCGGAAAGAAAGTCCAGAAATTTTTGTATATTTCTTGGTATTTTTCTCCGAGGAAGGCTTTAAGATAGAAAAACCAAATTAGAGAAAGTAGTTTGACAGAAATTTAATAATTAAAGATTATAATAGCTCTTACGAAGGTTGTCCGGTTGCCCATTGGCAAAGAACTCAGAGTCCAGCGTTTGTCCAGAGTATATGTTGACGAAAGAGTTGCTAGAGTCGCCATACTGTCTGGCATACCCAGTCCAGAAACCCAACTCAGCTAGATGAGCTGGATCTTTAGCGATGGCAGCTCCGTAGTGGGACCACATATGGTTGCGAAGGGTTTGCTTGAACACGTTTTATAGCTACACTATCGAGAAAACTTTAGAAAAAAATCACGTGAAATACTATAGAATTTAGAGTACTTTTGCCTGCAATTTGCGGTTAGTACTGAGAAAATTGAAAAAAAAAATCCAAAGTGAGGGTTTAAAAAATAATGTTTCAAAAAACTGTCGGTTGATTATTTAAAATGAAATACATCTCTTGTTTTGTATTTCAATTTAAATAGGTTTGAAACAAGTTGAAGAATTGAAAGAAAAACTTCAACCGCTTTCAATTTTTTGGAAATATATTTTTTAAATAAACTCCAACAGAAGTTATGGTTAGATAAATCGCAACACATGTTTGCTAGATTATAAATTCTTAATCTGCTCAGTTTTGCTACCTTACAAAGGGGATCCAAAAACCATAAAGATATGAAGTCTTAAAAACCCAAAAACCCATAACGGTTCTCTGTTGTAGCATAATGTAATTGGGTAATGCACATGACCTACCTGGTCTCCGACTGTGTCGAAAGTGGCGAGTGTGGCTCCTCCTTCAAAGCCACAGGCCACGACTGCCTTGTCATGGCTCACGGGTCCCAGAGCCAACATCAGTTTGTAGCAGTGGGGAAGTCCTAAAACGAGACCTCCGAAAATTACTCATAGTTCAAAATTATTTCAAAATTTATTTTTCTAATTAGGCATAGTTTTCAAAATTTTAGCGGAAAAATAGTACCTATAAAAATCTGAAGTGAACTAAGCTTAGACACGCCTGATAGTTTTTCATAAATAATAACAACGTGGTTCCTGCGAATATAAATCCTCCGCGAATCGAAGAAATCACTGGCAGTTTTTTTAAAAATAAATAATAACTCTAGATTTGCAGAAGCGAGATATGTTTGAGCTAAATTATTCAAAAATATAGCCGTCTTTCTTCAAATGGACTTAATTTTTGGCGGAAAAATTTATCACTGTTCGTAAAAAAAAAACTTTTAATCTAGTTTTTTCTTTAGGTTTAATAATACAAAATCACGAAAACCTACGAAACTAACGAAAACGACATACGAGTTCTTTAACCATCATGAAATCTTTCTTCTTCACGAAAACAAACACGAGTTGTGAGCAGCACACATTTTATCACAAGCTATTTCGTTTGTTTCAAGGTTTTTCAGGTATAAATGAAAACCAGTTATTTCGAAATTAATTCACTTATTACAAATAAAAACAAAACTGATACTGTACCTGCTACTTGCTCGAATCCAGGAGGACATTCTGAAAAAAAAATTCTGATTACGAAAGAAAAAAAACGTGACTGAAAATGTAATCAATATTTTTAGTTTCTTTTTTAACCTTCCACGCATGAGGGCGGTGTAGCCACATTGCCACCGGCTCTGAAAAAAAACATGAGTTAGTAGGAACAAAATTACGACCCAGTGATTTTAAATTTTTGTTTAAAGTTAGCTGTTTTATTATTCTCAGTATTTTGAAAACCGAGGAAAAGCCTGCATTTACATGTTAAGTAAGAATGATTAATTAAAGATTATGGTGATAGGGTTTGAGTTAAACTCTTCAATCATCTAAGTAAGTAATGTTACGTTTTCAATTAGATGTCTTCTATGCATATTGTCTAAGTTTGAAAGTCTAGATAGTCTTTCATAGATCCTCTACATATCGCACAAACCACAATCAAATAATTAATTAGTTTGAAGTTTATGTCGTTTATTTTTGATTTGTCTAAATTCCAATTCAAATTTAAAGATCCAAACTTCATATGAATTTTAATTTTTAAGCAATACTCACTGAGCGCAAAGCTGAAGGCTGGCAAAAATTATCAGTTTAGAAAAAGTTGACTTCATTCTGGTGAAAAAATCTAGATAATGACTCCACTGAATAACTAACCCCTCTCTGAAACTCAGGAAACAAAAAGCGTACCAGATTTTGCTCGACCATCTTCATCTGTTACACGATGACAGTTTGCCAGCAAAAAAGTTTAATTCAAATTGGTTCGAGAGACAGTCATCACTCAAGAGAGACCATACAATCCTCTTTTAAGGCTAAAACAATCATTGGCATTTTTTGGCAGTTGTCCGAAAGATGGGACAATTTGGACAATTTGGAAAATACTTGGACCTTTCGCCACGTTTTGTTTTTGTAAATAGAAGCAAATCGGTTTGATGAATTTAAATTAAAGCTTTTAGCCAGCAGTTTTTAACAGCTTGAAAATAAACCAAAACTTGGAATGCCAGTTTTGAAAAAAGAAAAATTTCATTCTTCAAGTTACCAGCTCCATTGTAAGTTTCTTTTCAAAAATCAACCATATCTGAATCCATAGCAGATTTAAGCTGGGGATGAGGGAGGGGCGTACTTTCATTCCGAGGGATTTTTGACTACCAGACAACCAAAAGAATTATTTGGGAAAGCTATGAAAATAAAAATAAAAAGATTGACAATTTTTTTTGAAAATGCGCATTTTGAGAAAAACTAGATCCATGTTAAACTTTTGTTAAGCCAAAGAAAACTTCAAATTCACAAAATGCATTTTTTTATTTTCCCCAAGTCAAATGATAAACGTTTTAGAGAAATTAGGCAAAATTTGTACGCTGAAAACCATTCAATTTTGGTTCGAGCTATTTTTGAGTTTGAACAGAGTAACTGTTTTCTGAGCGTCATACACAATTGACTACGAATTTTGAATTTCTATCACTTGACATTATTTCAAAGTTATCATAAAAAAAAATTTTCACTGCTCATAAACTAAATCATTGTCAAGACTGATCGTAACGAAGCAAAACCCTGAATACTCCGAGTGCACTCTAGTGTATCCGATGAGTTTTTTAGGCGAAAAACTTAAAAATTTAGAAAATAAGAAAATAGAAACTATTTTCAATTTTGCAGTACTTACGCTCGGCAAGATATACTTTGAGTAAAAAACCGTTTTGACTCAATTAACTCATCGCATTTCAATCTGGACAACGATTTCTGAGCGGGCTGATTTCGCCACCAACGCAACGTACATAAAAAAACCAAAATCGCGCGCATAAGCTATACTAAATTGAATTTTCAAACACTTGTCACTATCCAATAAAGAGTCGCAATTGAAACAAGGATCGCCAGTTTTTGTGCAAGTAGCACAGAACATTCCGACCATAGTCTTTAGAAAACTACGGTTTAGAAGGTTTTTTTTCTAAATTAGTGTAGCTTTTTTAGTGTGATAAAAGGATCTGACGTAAAAATACAAATTAGGCATATAAGACAGTCATACTAGTATAGGCAAAATGGACAAAATGATTACGACTTTGTGGACAAAATGACTTTGTGGGAAAATGACTAGAAAAACTTAAAAAAGAATTTAAATTTTTTTTTCTTCAGAAATGCAGCTAAAAGAATGCAGCTTCCCAAAACGCAGCTAAAAACTCTGAATACTTGTTTTTCTTGCTTAAAACTAAATTTTAAGGTCTCAAATCATGCATGAATTAGGCATCTCAGCAGTTTTAAGTCTGTTGGCTTGCTTGGTTCGCTCGAATTAAGACGAAAAATCAAAAGTTTCAAAACTGTTTTTCTCGAAACTAGAAAATAATTTTAGGACTTTTAAAATGTGGTTGGAATCACAAAAGAAATGGTTTTAATATGATATATCACTTAACTCAGTCCAATGATTATTCGTGGTACCTGATTTTGCGTGGAAAACAAAAAGAAAAAAAGATCGGAAGGATAATCTCTTTGCTTTGAGCTCAAGCTTTGCTTTGTGGTATTAAAAGTTTCCATTTCAAGCTATTAGCTTAACGAGTAATGAAGTCAAAAATGAAGTCAATAACAGCAAGAAGAACTGGTCGTTGTGTATTTAGCACAAAAAGTTCAGATTACAACCATTTAAGAGAAAAAAAATCAAAAATTGAGAAATAATAAAGAGTTTTTCCCACTGCCTATCAACATCAAATATTTAGCCTCCAGACGGTGATTTCTTTTTGTTTTTAAGGGCCCATAAATTGATGTAGGAGCAAAAATTGGAAATACATAAAAATCAAATTGAAAATTGGAAATAAATATTCCATTATTGGAGTTTGTCACCCGCACCGAGCGCCCATGGATCATAATCAATTATACTGTCATACTTTGATCACCTTCTACAAAATTACAAAATAATCGAATATAATCCATTAGAAATGAATTCTAATACTAAAACATTTTTCATGGCAAAATAATCCATTATAACCGATTATAATCCAATAAAAATGGATTATAATCCCAATATTTTTATGTCGATATAATCCATTATAGGTCAATCATGAATTTAGTAATATCACCAACAAAAAATGTAATAGTACCAATAAAACTGGTACCGTACGTACTCGTACGTACCGGTATGTACTACTACTTGTACTCGTATCACAAAAAAGGACTTTGTTCGCGTAAAAGAATCGTCATTTGCATAATTGATTTCATCAAAATCATCAAGTGGAACAAAATCAAATCCCTGAAAACGCAAAAAGCAATTTTTCAATCAACGAATACTTTATTAGCTTTGCGAATACTGAGCAAAAACTAGTTTAAAATTGACCCCTACATAGGCAAGGTTACTATACAAGGTTACTATTCAAAATTCTCTCAAATTGGGTACTATACAGTACTAGTTAGTACATGTACTAGTACCGTAGAAACTAGTACCGGTACCATGCCAGCCCTATTTGGGACAATTAACACGCGATATTTTGCGCGCAATTAACGCGTATGCGGAGATTTAATCCGTCTTAGAAATCTTTCCAATGTGGTTGAATGGAAGCTTATTTCCCGTAATTGGTTTGAGCGAAATTAAGGATTTTGTACGTTATATGGTGTGTGGGGGATAATTTTCACAAAAAGTCTCAAAAAATTTTCATTTTATTTTCTTATTTGATTTTTCATTCAATTTTATATGATAATTGTTTGTTTTGCAATTTTTCTTCTTAAAGAAAGTGCCTTCAGAATTTTGATATACCAAATTTTGGTGTTCCACTTTGGTTGAAGAATCTGGCTATGGTCTCATATCAATCAAAGTATTTTCAAGTGGTTGTAAACATGCCTCACGATGGACGGACGTTATGTTGTTAAATTCTTTGCAGTCATTTTCAGCCAGTCAGAATTGAGTATTCAAAATCTCAAAATCGCGAAAATCTCCAAGTGAGCAGTTTAATCGAGGCGGATAGTATTGATTAGTATTGACGGATTACAAAAATAACAGATTGCAGATATATGAATTTTCAAACATTGCCAGATCAGAGATTTACTAAAAAAAAAATCCAAATTTTCACAGATTTAGGATTTAGGAAATATTAAAAAAGACAACGCCCAATTTGTTCTATCCGCAAAGACTGTGCTAGCTTTATTTAATTTTCTAATGATTTTCACCTCGGTTCAATGCAAAAACCATTCAGCGAAGAGGAAGTTCTAATGATTCTGATTGGTTGAAGTTTTTCCATCATTCGGTCCCTCCATCGTGAGAATAGCCCCCGTCCCTCGTGATGAAAGGGATTATATTTGAAAGCTTGTTTTCAGTGTTTTTCAACAATTCTGAATTAAGTAGTCAAAAATCTCAAAAAGATCGGGAAAAATTCAATTTAAGCAAAGAAGTTCAGGCCATCATAAATAAAATTGACCGTTGGCAAAAAAAGCTGAAACATGAATTTTCGAGTCAGATCTGAAACGCACTGGAAAAAAACTTATTTTTTAAAAACTTTATCAATTTTAAAAAAAATGGAAAACGAAAAAAAAGTTTTGTGCACGAATTGTGGAGCAAAACTTGTCCTTAATTCAGTTTCTGCTAATTTCAATTTCTGCTTTTTGCGAACAACTAACAGCGAAAATTAGCGACCTACAATTTTGATTGGGTTGAAGAGTTTTCCATCATTTGTTTCCTCCAAGATTAGCTCCGAGGGGGGATGCTATTATATCTCCCCCGAGCGGAAATGGGAGGGAGATTGCTCTCTTGATCCAAAGCAGAAGCTCAGTTAATATTTTGATAAATATGGGCCATGTTACAGAAATTTCTCCTATTTCGCACTGATCAATGGGATCGATGTAAATTAATTTTCACCAATTAGAAAGAAAGTAGATAATTTTTTTAAGCGTAGCGAGACTGAAGATGCTTGAAAAAATCAAATAAATCAAGAAAACCAAAAAAAGATCAGATTAAACAAAAACTTGTTTCTATAAATGCTCGAATTGTATAGCACAACCTGAATATTTTTAACTATTCCTCCCTTTTTATTATAAAAGAGGATTTTCATTATTAGGTTCGAAATTCACAAATGCTTAACCATTGATTTAGTTTATTTCAGGAGTGGCATTTCGTTGCTAGGTACCAAGGCGAGGAAAATGCTTAAAAAGATCCCCAAACTGTGCTCCACTTTTTTTTCTTAACAAAGATTACCGTTTTGAGCAATCGTCATTTAGCCAAAAGGAGCTTCTACCTATTTTGATTGGTTAAACAGTTTCCGTCTTTAGGTTCCTCCATCACGAGAGTACCACTGCTGGGGTCTCTTATGGTACGTTTCTGAGATAGCGTCAAATCATGGCACTATCGTTGACAGTGAGCTTAGGAATCAATAAAAAAAAATAGCCGTTTTAGGTTGATTTGCTTACTCGACAACTTTCTATGTGATGAAAAGAGTAAAAACTTAGTTTTGACGTCACAAGGAGCAATTATGGGGAAAATACACTTTGTTCAGAACTGTTGATCAGCAATATGACGGACAATTTATCATCGTCCACCGATCCTTATCGGTTTGGTTGCCATTGCTTAACCTTAAAAAACTTAGAGCCTTGTTTGTAGTTTTGTGACATGACAAATCAACAAAGTTATTGACGACAATCATTATCCGATAGAAAAAAAATTTGAAGTAACATTTTTCTAAGGACTTTCGCAT